CAGATTTCAAAAACTTTTTATTAGCGCGGATCCAATACGTTAATTTATTTGCAAAAAAAGCTATTTACCTACTGTCAAAAACGGTATATCTTAAAACTGTTCCCCCCGTTTTTGCCACTTTTCTTAAAATTTTTCTATTGCAATAATATTTTTTATTTTTGATTATTAAAATGTAAGTCGTTACGAAAATTTTGCTACCCCGCGCTCCTCTGTACGATGAAAAAAAAATTTTGTTCATCCCCTTAAGAAACATTTTCGTCTAAAATTAATAGTTTTGCCACAATTTGGGAAACACCACTTTCCCCCCTTTCAACCCCCGGGATTTCACCCGCGAAAAAATTCAGCTGTTTTAATTATTTTTTCCCAATTTATATTCATTTCACCTGCCTGAAGAACCCGGTTTCGCCCGGTAACTAATTTTTTTTGAAAATAAATTAATTTAGAGCTATTTAGCCTGGACTATCTATATATATATTGCTTAACAGTTTGAGCAGCTTTTTGCAGAATCCTGAGTCTTTTGTCACCTTTCTTGTTCGCTTTTCTTCATACCAAGCATCGCGTAGTTCTTGAAAAGAAACTTGGGTAATGCAGAGCACTATGATGTTTTATACTGAGCAGGCCTCTGGTTTCTTGAAAGCCGCGATCGATTGGACCCTCGTATAATCTTTCTACATGTGGACAAGAAATGAAGTCGCATTGGCTAATTGGCTGATTTTGCCGTCACCCCTCTCTGCACTAAATTTTTTAAGGGAACTATCCTTTTTTCACCCACTTTCGAGCCATCAGTACTCGATTCGCTCATTTCCTCATCACAAAAAAACACTTCCTGCTCATTTTGACCACACAACACCCCCGATATCGTCCAATGTGACACCACAACAATCCATTGAAACAAACAAAGGAAAACACTCGTTCGTTCGGAGTAAATTTATTTTCATGGGATTTCTTATTTGTTGACACGTTCCTTTTTATGTTATGCCATATGTTTTAATTTAATTACCTATTTTACTTTTACCCATACCGCAGTCCTAAATCCATTAATGGGGTACGTAACTTTGATTTAATTGAATTTTGACCTGATTTTGGCATTGTTGTTTTTGGAAGTATCTTTCGTGTAAAGAGTATTAACCACTCCTATCCTATCTTTTATGAAATGCTAAAGCCAATTCACCAATCTATGATTGATACGTTCTTCTTAGCTGGAACTCATCTAACACTTGATATTTAAGATCAGACGTTCTGAAAATGCAATGTGTGAACTATCAGAGCGGCTGCCAAAGTGCGGGTAAACTGTAATAGCTTTCATCGTGTCTTTTCCGTTGCTGTACATTTTTGCTACCGTCATCGTGACGAAATGCTCTGCAATTGATTACACAAAATATAGAGGTTGCTAATATCCAATCAACGGCAAGTTGCCTTTTAATTTATCTTTTGCCTTTGTCGTTAATGTTAACGCAAGGTAATTCAGTTTCAGTTAGTTAATTTATTTCCCTGCCTGGCTGTAAATGAGGTTGTAGTTTATAAGTAATGTTTATACCCATTAGTGCCCGAGGATTCCCAAAGCTTCTATTCTTATTTTTTTTAGTCTATGTTTTTATTTACTTTTTGGCGTGACTTCTGCACGCCTGGCACTCGAAATTATATGAGCTTTGTCAAACCTCGGTGGCTGTTTCACTAGAAGACTCGTTTCCCCTGGCTAGCCGTGGCCAATTCTCTTTTCCTTCTCGAGATTGGCGGCGGCCCAGAGGTTCAGAGATCTTTAAGAAAACACAGGTCTAATTCTGTTTGTTAAATTGATTATAAATTACAACCCTTAATTTTTAACATTAATAAATGCATATCACTTAGCCTCATAAAAAGAATGTCCTTCTGCACATGAAACAAACTCCATTGACAATTTTTGTGAAAATTATAGTATGGAGTTATAGATTCCCGCCGGGAAATTACACTGCACTAAATTCTCAGGCGAATAAATTGTTCTCTGGACCTAGTTTTTTCGAACGATGAACTTCATGAATGTTTTCTTGGATTCAGATGTTTAGAAGAATTTTAGTAAATATTAAGAATGAGAACTACACTTGTAATCAAGGGTATTATTTAGAACTACCTATTATTAAATAAGTTTCTCTTTAGGCGATCGATTTCGACTTTATTAATGTCATTATCAGATGGAGTCATACATCAATCCTACACGTGTAAGTTCCCTTTTTTTGCTTCACTAGTAGTAAAATCACAACACTGAATTTTTACCAATAGCTTTTTATGACAAAGAAAATACACTGGCGCGCTTAATTAGTTTTACCTTGTTTGAAACACGGTTGTTTAATTTATGCTACTAAGATTTCGTCCTATTACACATTAATTCTTTCTGGTAGTGTAATCACTCTTTCTAACCTGGAGCCAGAATTTGCTTATTCTTTGCTACACGGTTAACAAACCCGTTATCTTAAGTTCAATGATTTGTAACTGGAAAATTAATTCCGTCGCGATTGAAGGATTGTGTTTTTTATAAAGCTTTCCCGAATTAGAACATCAAAAAATCAATTTACTTTTTTGCTAAACACTACTTTCTCTGGTAACCCCGAGCCGAAAGAATCTTGCGTTTTGCGCTCAAAAACAACTACTTGGACCACATACGTATTGGTCTCGTATCCCAAAAACGAATGGCTGAAATTATGCCGGAATGACTCCACCTTTTCTTACTTACTTAATTAACGCCTACAAGATGGCTTCTTATCCATGAAAACACGGTCATTTTAATCGTTGACTCGATTCTGCATTACGAATCAAAAGCAAGTAAGGGTAATAAATCAATCCCACGTACAGGGTGAGTCAACGATTGCGCGGAGTAACTTAATGCCTTGAAGATAAGATTTTTCGATAGAGTGCTTTTGTATTATGATATGGTTGAATATTCTCGACATTTGAAAAATATTTGGAATTATACAGGGTGCGCTCACAAAGTAGGGCGCCCAAATGGTACATTTTTTTAAATAGAACCCCCTGTATTTGAATGCATTTTTGAATTCTGCGTTTAATTGTACGTCTTTTTTATTATATGGTTAATATTCGAAAAGCTAGTAGTTTTAAAGATAATTAGATTTTTAAGAAAAATTGGGCATGAATGTAGGGGGGCACCTGCGAAATACTACATTTTCCACGGTTTGAAACAGATAACACCAATTAAGAGAACTACTTTAGCTCTGGAGGCAGACTTCCTAAGGCTATTAAGAGAACAAAGCGCTATAGAAATCAAAAGACGCAGAAAAGACGATTGTGTATTCCACCAATTGCTTACAGACCTTCTCTTACAATTCCATCAGCAATACAATTTATAGGAAAACTCGACCCTTTAAATGTGACACCCTGTAAACTTTCTATGATATATAATGCGAGGGGTATTTCACTGGGGAATTTTGGTGTACACGTGCGGGGAATTACAGGGAATTGCAGAAGGAATTGTGGGAATTGAGAGGAATTAAGGGGTATTGAAGGGAATTGAGGGGAATTGAAAGGCATTAGAGGAATTAAAAAGGAATTGAGGGGGGCATTGAATGGAATTGAGGATCGTGATCATGTGCCGCGCATGCCCAGTAACAATCAGCGTTTAAACGGTCGAAACTATAATGTAGCGTTAGTGCTAACAGTTATGACAGGTGTTGGAAAGTGCTTCTTGTAATTATTAGAATTATAAAATACAGTGTTACTTCGGATACTACAAAAGGTGAAGTTAATTAGTGGTTAACTATGATTAAATGTGAAAGCGGGTTTACGCGAGAGCTTTCTTACGAGTTTCCCCATGACTATCCATCGCGTTCATTTTAGATATATCGGTCCAGATGCTGGCGGCCTGGATTGAACTGGATAGAAAAGGAAACAAAAACAAATATTCCAGTATATTTAAAAAACCTTACTATACTAAATAGAATTAAAATCAAATTAATCTTGAAAAATATCTGAGTGGTAAAAGGTTCAATTGTGCCTACAGTGATATTCAGCGGCCCAATTTTGGGAAAATAAAGCACATAAACACGAATGGGAATTGAGGAATTGAGAGCATTTGAAAGGGAATTTATGGAAAATCAGACGGTGAATCGAAGGGAATTTGAAAGGGGAATTAAGGAAATGAATAGCGAATTATAGAGAATTTAAAGGGAATTGAAAGGAATTAACGGAAAAGGGGAATTTTGGTGTACAAATATTCATCGGTGAAATACCCCTCGATATAATGCCTAAAGTCCATTTCAACACACGCGACTTTTTTAAACACCCAGTATAACCGTAACTGTTTTGAATTAATTCCCGAAGTTTGTTACAGCATCACTCTCATCATGTAAATATTCACGCTATGACAAATTAAGTTTTCCTTGTAAAAGCGTAGGCCTGTGTTTTTACAATGTAGCTATTAAAACAAACTCTTCTTTTAAAAGTTGTTATTTTTAGATATCACAAGATGAAATGCTACCGATACCGTTGTAAAACGCCGCTACTTGTACTATTTTTAATTATGTGTCGTTATAAGAATGTTTATTTATGACCGAAAACCATTTTCAAAAGAACTTTATAGCTAAAGTGTTATTGCAATTGAAAAACGATGGTCCTACAGCAAGAAAAAAAGTATAACATGCAAGTTTCTTCAATCATATAAATCATCCCCTGCTGAGAGCAGCAGTCGTGAGGGGCATTAAGGAACCGCAAGACTTGTATGTAAGATACCAAGTTTCTGAAAGTTTGTACCAGTTTGTTGCGAATTGCTACAACTTCCCGCGCCGTCGTTCATTTAGTTTTAAACGTTAGATTGTGCATTTGAATTTAATTGTTGATACTAATCACATTTTTATTCACATCTCTAACAATGGGCGTAAATGAAAGACTCCCAGTGTGCACTATTCGTTAATTTAGTTTTATTCATCAAGCTCGCTTTATGAAGTGGGTGGATTTTTGTTTTGTTAAGGGAGTTCTATGCACTAGATGTAGGGCAGTACTAAAATCTAATGTAGTGTTATCTCTTTTAGGACAACAGCAACAGTTTCACTTTGCCTTTGGTCAACGTCCATTTCCATTCGCAACGACGGATCCTTTATCGGGCTTTAGAATGCCCCCAATTGGCAACTGCAACAGTAAGTCTCATTTAAATTTCTAAAATCTGAATTTTACATAATCCTTCACCGTCGGCACTTACAAATTAAATCCTTGACTCGTCCCACAAGGATAATAAATTCGTTTCCTTCCTTTTTTCCCTTACCAGAACACTTTTCTATCCTAACAAATTAATTTAATCTCGTATAAATTACGAGTTGCATTCAAAGGGCCCTGTTTAATTTTATATTCCGCGCGAATCTGTAGCGGGGTAGTTACCCGATGAACACGTCGGGTCAGTTTGGTCGATATCAGCTGACAAGCCTAACCCGATACTATCGTTTTTTACAAAATCTATCAGAATGTCGATGTGTCCCCGCATGTTATTGAATTCATTTCGGGTCTCATATAAAGGGATTAATTGTTTTTTACGTTTTCTTTTGATTCGCTTGGATTCGTTACCACATATGCGGTTAAAATTCCATTATAACTCCATTCACAATTGCTCGGATAGAAAAAAAATTCAATTTTAATTTTGTTCCATGCCCTTTCATTTACTGTATAAATTAAAAGAATTGCCTTTAATCATTATTATACTAATTTACAGGAGATGCAACAGATGTGTGTTACTGGTACGTGCTTTTTTCAATTCCAATGAAATTTGTTGCGTTTCTAGTATTGTAACGATAATGTGGGTTGTCAGTGCGAACAACCGAAGAGTTTTTAATCTGTTCGGTTTCTAATAAAGTCCTATTTTATAACGATTCGATATCGATATCTTTAGAGATTTTGTTTAGCGGCACCTAAAACGTTGACTAATGCGTTAACCCGAGCTCTCGAAGTAGAATCAAAAGCAACTCAAGGTACGATAAAGAAAATCAGTAGCGTTAGAACTGTAGAAGAGGACACCGTTAACAACAAACCTTTGACGGAATTAACTGCTGAAGTTCACGTTGTCAAGGTATGGTGAGAAAGAAACAGTTCCGTTGTTGGAATTGCGAAGAAATTGGGCATTTGCAAAATCGATGTCGAAAGTAATCATCCACCTGATATGTTAAGGCCCCAGAAGCCACTGTTTCTGGATTCAATATTAATGGTTCGATTTGTGGATGGAAAATCAGTGTCCATACTTTACATAACGGCATCCAATAGTCCTTGGGCTTGGCCTGTGGTATCGGTAGAAACGAAGGATGGGTCAACACGATTCTGGGTGAATTATCGTCGTTTCAATGACGTGACTAAGAAAGATAGCTATCCCGCTTCCAATAATTGCCGATACGCTTGACACGCTATCCGGCTCCAAGTTTTTCTCGACTTTGGATTTAAAAAGTGGCTATAGGTAAGTGGAAATGGCTGCAGGAGATAGGCATTTACCAGGCCAGGGTTGAAATGTTACGGTAACTATCTTGGCGGTAAATATCCTTCCGGTGGCGGTGGGACACCTTTGCCCCCCCCCCCCTCCGGTTTGGCACTCGTACGTGAGAGGTCGTACTAAGGAGGGACTTTGTTTTATGGTCCAAGGTGGTCCCTGGCGTAACTAAGGAGCCACTGAGTGAGTGGTTTTTGGTAAACATTGTCGAGTTCAATGTTATGTAGTCCAGGGTGAATAAACTTTTCAGGTTTTAAGTTTAGGAAGATATTTCAAATGGATTATCTGGTCATCTCGCTTTACAATTGGGATATCGCCCCGATCGGCGTCTCGGAATATAAATAAGTAAATACATAAATTGTAATGTTCTCTCTGGTGGAGAGGACATTTAGGGGAAAAGAACCACTCTTGAAGATGACTTAAAACTTTATTTACAACTTAATTTAAAGCAATGTTACTGGCGTCTACGTGATTTAATTTTTCTTTAGGAACGAAAAAATGTTTCCCTATTTGGCTTACTACTATTTTCATTTGATTCAGTGCTGACTTTTCCGCTATTTCCTGCAGAAGTATTACTTGTGAAATTGGATCTACCATATTGCCGCACAGTATTGAAATTTCTATAATGAGGATTATTAGCACGCGTGTAATTTTTATGCGTATTCATCTGATTCTTCGGAGCATTGTACCTTTTGTAATTTGTTCTATTTTGTGCAAATTGCGATGTTTGATTAGACCACCTATTTTGATATCGATTTTGACCGAATTTGTTACCTTTCCAATTATTTCTACTAAAATGAAAAACGTTTGAATTTGACGGTTTATTTACCTCCTCATCCTTCGCAACTGTTATTGCATCTTTTAGTTTTGCACAATTTCGGGCTTTGACAATTTGCGCGAACTGGAATCTGTAGCATTTCCTGGCTGCGACGTACTTCCCTTCGGATGCGATTTTCTATACTTCTCTTGCACCTTACGTACAGCACATAAAATACAGCTACCACCAGCAGGCCGATGATGACTATTACCAAAGAGTACCCATAATAAGAGATACAGCGCAATGGTATAAACGCGTGTTGGCTATAAGAACTCGCCCGCTAGGATCCCAAAAGCGGGCCCTCGCGTAGAGGTGGCCAGAACTAACCGCCTCTTTAAATATTGGCGCGTATTGAAAATTTACAGAATTCTTTATAGAATTTCGGTTTAAAATATTTGCGCGGTTGTCACATTTAATTTTCTTTCTTATTGGCTGTAAGTGTGGACATGATATAATTAGAAAACATTACTTAAGTATAAAAGAAATCAGCAACGATTCAGTACCTATTGTTAGTTACATTGGTATTTTCCTGTTTAGTTGGCGTCTATTGAATAGACAGTAATTACTATTTAATTTAATAACCAATAACAAGTAAACAATTGTAAAAATGTAAATTAAATTTGTTATTATCCGTCCTTTTTAGATCGTCTGCTACAATCAAATTAAAGTAGACAGCATATTTCATAAAATTGGAGTTTATGATGGGCATAGCGATTATTTTACAGGAAATTTTGTTTGCTTTAATTAATTGGTATAGATGCCTACATACGCTGAATTGTTTAATCATTACCAATCAATCATTACAATGCAATAATCCTTATGTCCTCAGAAAAAAAAAACATCAGTCTAATCCAATAATCAGTCAAAATATATAGTGCAGTTAAATAATAAATTAATAAATCTGCACCCGTCGAATAAATTTAATTAAATATTTACACGTTATTCTCATTTAAACAATTCAATTCTGGAGCGTTTAAATATCTCCGGAATGCGTGGGTCGATCGGACTGAAATGTAATGAGATTAAAGGGGACATTGGTCACATCGACTGGTAAAAAATATGGTCCAAATCGGTCAAGTAGTTTTCCAGTTATCGCAAAGAAACCATTTTTAAAGAGGTGGGGTTGCGTCAGGGGTTGCGTTGGTCCACAGTTCACATTTTTAACTGATTTGAACCATTCGATCACAACTATAATCCAATTGAGGCAGTTTATTTTGGATATCTTATATTGTTTATAGTTTGTCCGGCAAAAATTAAAAAGTGATTGCAATATTTTTTCCGGGAATCTTTCATTATATTATTATTTGTACAATAAATGCTATAAAACCGGAACATTCCAAACCGGCGATTACAAACCGGCAACTGCCAAACCGGCAATGCACGAACCGGCGCCGCACCAAGCCGGCGACATGGCAAGCCGGCGCTCGGTCATGCCGGCGCTTGTCTAATCGGCACTCGGTCACACCGGCGCGTGTAAAGCCGGCATATGGGCACTTCATCGATGCGATCTGCAAATTATGTTTCATACACATTTGGAATGATAACATGGATGGCTATAATATGGACATGTTGATGTAATTCTCAAATTACTTTAGGTGGGGTGTTGGAGAGTTTGTTATTAGCAATTTAATTATGATTTTACGATTGGTCAAACCAGAGGAATCAGATTAACTAAGTAAATAAACTTTTCTATCGGCATTGGCATTGATCGTAACTTTTAAAATTTTAATAGGTAGATACTCGCTGCGTTGTATTAATCCAACCCACATAAATAGGAATGCATTCGGTGGAACGAGCTCCGGCAAGGCATAGCGCCGGTTGAACGAGTGCCGGCAAGGCATAGTGCCGGTTCATCGAGCGCCGGTTTGACCGAGCGCCGGCTTTTAAAAAAAATGTTCGTTTATTTCCGCGCAAGTCGGAAGTAAATATCGTTCGTTAGACGACTTCCTCTAACTAAACGATCTAGTTCGGTCGACTTTTCCATAGGTCCGTCGACGGTAGGGCGACGAACAGTGTGTACAAAGGGCAGAGACGTAATCAAAGCGAGCTTATTACTCGCGCTTACTGGGAATACACAATACACAGTAAAAAATCTATTATTTACCGCTCAAAAAACGGCTTATTGTTACACGAATAACATATTGTGATATTTGCAGGGGTTTGGTTTAATTAAGATCACGAAAACTTCATATTTATTTTATTAGGAATTGAATAAATTCCGTAGACAGTAATTAATGGTACATGCTTACTCGATCTAGATTACAAATCTACTGTTAGTAATATTAACCTACTAGTGACACACCGAAAGTGGAATAATGCTTACTGCTATAATAAGCGTTTTCGCAAGAAAGTTAATGCAATTAAATGTAAATCAGTTCAATGCAATGATTATGAATCAACAATTATTTGAACTCAAAGTTTTGAAACCTTATGCACGTGTATCCTAATTTCGGCAATCACTAATTATTACATTACAATATCTTCGCACCTATGAATCAAACCAACAAGCGTTCGGACCTTAATAAATTGTGCCATAAGCGTAGAATGGGCTAACATATCTCTAAACATCATACTTTTCAAGGAATAATAGATACCTAAATAAGTACAAGCAAACACTAAACATTTGGCAACGCTGGGATTTCTGCAATGATATTTATAAACTTCTAAACAAGTAGTTGCCTTGAAATAGCCCTTTAGGCGTAGCGTACGCCAATAAAATTGAGAAAAAGCAGTAAAATTTGTTAGGCAACACACAATACATATGCAGCACTATTCTCTATGCCGTTGAATCTTTTAATATGGTTACTCTTTGCTATTACCAAAGAGTACCCTATTACTCTTTGCTATTACTCCAATTTCGACTAATTTGGAACCTTCCAAGCTCGATTGGCCCGCGTTGTTGTTTCCTGACCCAGCCGCTTCAACGATAATTTGTTCCCGGTTTCTTTGAACACTTCGTGAATTGAACATTGTGGGGTATATTTCGCTAGTCCTACATTCGTATCACATAATTTTACACTTTTAGGCAGGATCGCCATGTAATGTTCTCTCTGGTGGAGAGGACATTTAGGGAAAAGAACCACTCTTGAAGATGACTTAAAACTTTATTTACAACTTAACACCTACCTATATCTACTACATTTCGATTATTACTGCCTGCACGCAACGCTTTACTTAATCAGTTAATTAATTGTTCACGTCATGCGCAAATCAATAATTTAACATTCTTATTCCATTACAAAATAAATAAATAAATAAATAAATAAATAAATAAATAAATAAATAAATAAATAAATAAATAAATAAATAAATAAATAAAATTAACAAATAAAAGAATTTAAACAAGTGCACGTAATTTTAATTTTCCTCCGAAATAGGTGACCCTGGAGTATTTGCCATAGATGTATTCAGAAATTTGCTCCTGAGCTTTATCTAGAATTCTAGAACACTATAGCCTTTAAATATATTCGCCTACAAAATTCGTTGCGATAAATTCGCACACGAAACATTCGCCCTTTGTTGTTGATGACAGCTTTTCTGCCAAAAGACATGTTTCTAAAACTTTTGTTTTGGTTTTTTCTTTCAGTATTTGTTAAAAATACTGAAATAATAAGTTGTTTCACTCTTAGGCAAACAAAATTTGTAATTCCTGATTTTTGGGTCGTCACGCATATAAACCGCGTTAGTAGTCTTCTTTTTATTAATCCCGAAAATAATTTTATCCACGTGGTTTGATTGGTTGAATAATTTCGCGTGGATTGGTCCTGATTTGTACTCAACGTAGGTAACTAAACACTATTGCTCTTCTGGTATAAAAACAGTCACGTCCATTATCGCAGGTAGTCCCCCACTGCAAAATTGTACATGTACATATAAGTTTATGTTATTACATTTTTATCTCTATCTAGCCCATGCGATGAAAAAGACGTTTACCAGTGGGCGGCTACCCGTGACTCATATACTAGACGACGCAACAAATAGTTGTCTTCGGTATTCACTGCGGAAATGAACATCAATATCAACAATTTAAAAATGGCGTCATTTCATTCTTACACATTAATATACCTTTGACACGCTCATTCTATATATAGTTGAAATTACTTGTTCATAAAATTAGAAAACAAGTTAATAAAGTCTCTAACGACTACTCGACAAACGCAGTTTTGATGTAGTAGAGAAGTAGCTTTAAGGTTTTGGTGACTCAATAAAAACTCGAAATAGGACCGTTTAGAGGAAAACCATTTCTTCCTTCTTCAAGAGATTCTATTGGCATACTATGGAGGCATATTAGAAGTATTTTAATTTCTTCTCCTTCAGTCCACCAGCACCAACACTCACCCGATTTCGCCGAAAACCAAATTGACCTAGGAGTATTTTTACCCCCCCCCCCCCAATCCTTTCTCCTCAATTTTGTAGGGACACAAAATCCGTCGAAAAACTAAGTATGACAGCGCGGGTGTGGTAGGAGGTGAAGCATTTTGATGCAGATTTTCGAAAGCGTTAGACGGAATGCCTGAAACGATTGCTTTAAATAGAGTACCATGAAGGCATATAGATGATCATTTTTATCCACAAACAATTTCGTGACAAAATTCGTCGAAAAAAACTTTGAGCTATAAAGGGATCGGGATGGCACAGCTCGATGCAGTATTGAGAGCTTTCCAACGAATGATCGCACGATATACCTACGATCAATGGTTTCGGAATTAAGACCGATATTACTCATAGAGAGTCGAGGGGGACGGGAGTTGGTGAAAAAAAAATTCGTTTCGTCGCGACCTTTATTCACTAGTATCCAGGAATAACTTGATAGAACGAATATATTGATAAAAACCCCGAAATTGATTGACCTTCAGCTTTCAATCTAAGCGATGCAGGAATAGCTCTATAATACGAACCTAATGCTAAAATAGTTATTTATATGATTAGTGCGGGAACAGTTATTTTGCATATGAGCGCGAAGTTTGGCGGCGCGAGTGTGCGCACGAGCGACGCATCTCGCGCGAATCAAGCAAATACTGTTCACGCACGTAACATGTATTCTATTTCTTGCACGGATTAGTTAAATCGAATTGATATAAATTCAAATCCTTTTCGCGAGATTTTTGCGACATTATAATTCTTTTGAAAAAATCAAGTCCTCTATGCCGATAAAGTAGAAATCTAGAAATTTAAAATGTCAATTTATTTTTCAAAACTTCTGGTTTAAGCTTATTTTTGCCCCTGTACTACAGGGAATGATGTAAAGTGTATTTATATTTTCTTTTTTACTCTTCCATCATACTACTTTTTAGTTTATGATCCGCACTAAATAGATAATTTCGTTGAATTTTTAGGCACTAGTGCGCGAAAGTAGATAGTCAATTGTAAAATTGACGTTCCCGACTTTCGTGTTTTATTGGGAAAACGCGATTTAGAACGAAGGAGTGCAAAAACGCCTTTTCGTTGTCGAGATCTCTATCGATTTATAAAAGGAGACATTCATAAATTGCCAACTTCATCAGGAATAGTTTTCAGGCACAGCGTTGCAGGAATAGCACGATAGTACGACAATAATGCCGAAACCCGTAAGTACGATATTCCGTTACCGAGATCTCGATTGATTTATGAAAAGCTTAAACGGCGCCCGAACAGCCGACAGAAGTTTCACTGCTACTTACTATTAATAGTCGCATTTGTGAATTACAATCTAATTATAGTTCTAGTGTTCAAGCAAAAAAAAAAGATACTTGCATATAACGTTTTTGTTCGCAAATATTTATACGCGACTCCTGATGAAATGATGAGAGGCTGATAAAACTGGTAAAAATACGCTAATCTTAACGCGTCTGTAGACAGCCGAATACTAACAGGAAATATAAAGTATTTCTTTACAACGCAATAGGAGCGTGATTATCCAAACGCTTTCCAAAAACGAAGACGACGTAACTAACGGGTGACCCTGTTTGTGGTGCAAGATCCTTCAAAACGAGAAATTGCAATGCTTTCACCGATGCAGTGATTTATTCACGTCGCGAGATGTTGACTCAGGGTCTTCCTGAAAAAAAATATTGTAACTTTTTTGTATCTTACTGTAAAGTTTATAACCTGTAATTAAACATCTCATATACAAAACTTTTTTTCCTAATTGCAGCATGTCAATAAACAACATATAATATCGTAAAACTTTCAAATTTTGTCATGCAACCGACGACATGCCGATATTGGCCGAGCGTCGCTTACGTCACTACGCGGGTTGCCGATAGGGAGTTATATTAGTGCATGACACTGATAGGAGTTCGATTCGACTTATTATGGCAATCTACCATAAACTGAGTCCTGACTGGTTCGTAAAGGGGCAGTTAGATAGTCTGCCAAAGGTTGAAGTGTTAATGGTCGCCGCCTTTTTCTCGAAAAGTGAGTTTTTCCATGCCACTCGTTTGAGTGGAGTCAAAGCCCAGAAGCAAATCTGTTATGGTTCATAGGAAGTATAACATCAAGTTTTGTGTGTATAGTGCAAGGTATAGTGTAGGTACCTAATAAAGTATGCACCTTACGGATTTCAACGAGAAAATTAGGGTGTTGGATATGTGGAAGTGAAAATAGAGAAAAATGTGTGCACTGTAAGGGCACAGATATGCCCAGAACAGAGTTCCAAGTAAACTATATTCTGAATTACAATTACAATATTATATATCGATGGATTTTCGTCGATAACTGACTGAAAGTAAATCGACATTATGTACTTTAATTAGTTAGAATCGTCTTCACAACAATACAAATGGGATGTCAAACTCGCGGTATCACGTCGAACTTTTTTCGTATATTTCCTGTTGGGACGTTTATATACAATTTATTAGGTTCGCGATGACTTCTGCTATCACACCCAGGCACAAATGCAAAATTATTCGACGCTTTTTTCCCGTCAAAACGACGTTTTCTTTCTCTGAATCGATTGTAAGCAATGCTACGGCTGAGCGCCAACGTGCGTAGTGACGTCACAGCAACGTGGCGGTCATTCGAAACTTTTCAAACGCCGTTCATTTTAAAATCGTGTTTGCTAATCACAACGATTTCTCTTGACAAAAAAATGAGTACCACTAATTTTTTTAATGTGCTTGGAGTTCATTTTCAAGGTTTTTGAAAAAACGCGGAAAACCCAATTAATTTATTTATCGAATTCGGCATTTATTTGCGGATGTTTTCCAAATAGTGCAGAAAGCGCTGTTAGGCATTGGAAATGTTTGTATCAGTGTCCTTGTTGTTATCAAAAATCGCCGTGTTCCATTCAAAACCCTAAAATAGTTTCCAATTAATTGTCAGAGAGATTTTTATGAGGAAGAAGGTTTAAAAACCCATGACAACAACCTATGAAACTAGGAAAATTATAAAAAAATACAATGTGGCACTTGATAAGTGTCGACAGAAGTGACTACTTCTTTTTCTTTCACACTCCTCCTTCGCTCCCTTTTTTCTATAGAAATAAGTCTATGAGTAATACAAGTAAATATATGTATGTTATACTTGAAGCATCTCGTGACGGATGAGATGAATTTATTACCGTACAAAACATAGAGTGTATACCGAGCGATAAGAAAAAAATTGTAAAAAAATTGAAACATACAAAAAAGTAAAGAAAATTGGGAAAACTATGAAAATGTGAGAAAATTCCTGCCAGTAACCACATAAAGTCTCAGTAATAAGTTTTCTCTTCCATGTTGGCATTACACTATACTGCTACAATAATCACGGGAATTTGATATAATCGTTACGTTTCAGATATGCCACAGTTTGGATTGAGTACAACAAATTCGCATTGGGGTTACAGTACAGGTGCCTACTCGCCTTATTTAACACCGAGTTCTCTGGGATCGTGTGCCGCACCTACGCCATCCCAATTCAACACACCCGCGCTCGGATTTTCTGGCACCGCACCAGATCAAACATCAAATCAAGATGCATTTGGATCAAGTGCCGCGGTCACTTCAAGTGAGTACCCTAATCCCCTTAGGATAGGTAACATAAATAAGATCTTCAGTCCTTCCAGACACTACGGCAACCGACCTGGACCAGCACTTGGGATTGATGTCCTCGCAAACGCACACCAATCACACGCAAGGTGGTACGCATCCCTCGTCACTTTTAGTGCCGCGATACACGTCGAACCATTCCGAGTTTGCTCTTTCGGGACCGAGATCGCTGTCGGATAATTCGAGTGCGGCCGAAAGTCCGGTGCAAGACGAATTGATAAACTCTCAGGGGACGCACGTTAACAACGCGAACTTTCCCCTGCATCAAAATATGACGCCGACAAGCTACTCGAGCGCGAACTGCAACAACTCCCTCTACCCGGTCCTGCCGGCAAGCCTATTATATTCGCAGTTGTACTCCGCCGCGAACCAGACGCATAACTTTCACTCCCTCCACTCTCATACCGCCCAAGGTCACCACAACGACCTTCAATCGGTGATGGACCATCTGTCCACCTCGAATCAACGGCAGATGAACGGCACGACGGACTTGCTGCTATCAAACAACGTGACGTGCGCGAATGCCGCTTCGAGACAGGACGACGCCCATTCAAGGGCGCTAACGAGCAACGGAGGACAAAGAGGACCAGGCCAAAGCGGCGATGTTGCCGTTTGGAGGCCATACTGAGAAGAACTGGAAACTATGGGATTTTCGTTCTTTGATTGTTAACTAAACCTAAGTGATGTTTTTGGTGCAATATTTACCTTCGCCGTGTGCGCACATGGAAGTTTTCTACCTCTCTCGATTTGCCTCCTGGGCAAAGTAAATAAAAGATGTGCAATGTAGTAAAACCAAACTCGTTAGTGATATTATTTTAATGAAGTTGTTAAAAGGAACGGTACTGTGAATATCTAAAATATTGGGTAGATGTACAAAATAAATATTTATTGTTCATTCTTTTCGGTTATCAAATTACTAATGTACATACTATGAATTGTGATTCATTTCGTTGTTACATACATACATTTTTAATGTTTGCAGTGTAATTTAGTTGCTGATGAGCTTTCACCAAAGAATTTTGTTTATGTTCTGAAAAAAAGATTAAATTTTGTTCGTATTAGTTAACTGTCTCTCATTTCTCCTCATTTGCACTACAGGATTTTCAGGTGAGTAACTGCGACACCTCTATAGCAGTGAAACTTGGATGACTTTTCGTAAGTACTTCCTAAACAAACTTTTAGATATGGAATTGGAACAACCGTACTGAAAGGCAGTATCAAGTTAATTTATGTTATTTTTATTATTTTCATGCAATGAAGTTGGCGTTGGGCTATTGACGGTAACACAACACCTTAAATTTGTGACGTTTCCTAAATTTGGACGGAAATATACTGAAGTTTTACGTACAAATTAAGACGACCGCAAAAGGGCATCTGTACAACTTTGATTGGAAAATGAAGGGTTAAGACGAAAAAAACCCCTTCTCCAAATTTTTACAGACGACGGTTTTCACAAAATGGTGTTAAAAATGTACGGTTGGGTTGTTTTGGTAAAATCTACCCAAAAAGACAGTGGTAAAGTGATATCTCTATGTGTAACTATGTTCATATTGATACTTTTCTGGTCATCAAAAACTTTGATGTAGTAAATTTCATCGATGTCCAGTAAAACTGTTTTTAGATTATCACTACAATTGGCGAGAGGGATAATTAGGGCCAGAATACTGCGATATTACAACAATCCAGATGTCAGCCGTGACCTGACGCTGGAACAGAGAGCAAGGTAGGTCTGTAAGATGAGAAGGTGGTCGGATAATGTGGGTTTTTACACACTGTACTTAATGTTCTTCACCAGATGAAGACGGATTGCTAGAAATCAAGTGCTCCGGGGGTCCCTCAGACGCGATACCAAACAGAAGTAACAAGTTCCTCACCTAGGCACGATGCACAAGCGAGGAACTGCCGTTAAATAGTCGTAAGTACTAACGACGAGTCATATTCCAATTCTTCACTGGAAGTTTGAAGAAAGTGGAATCCTATGAATCACGTAACATGGACGAACCATTTTCCTGATGGAGAATTTTAAAGTTTCGGGGCTACTAGAAAACAATTGAAAGGAAACTTCAAAGAAAAGAACTCGGAAGATTTTAGGAGCCTCCATACAAATTGGGTTTTCCTAATTCGCAAGGTAAATACCGGAGTAGTATAGAACAACTTCTGTAGGAGCACCTTTAAAAAGTATTATGCGGGTCACTCTGTAGGTAATTGGGCACAAGCATGTTGAGGGCCTAGGAGAAGAGAAGGATAATAAATAAATAAATAAATCTAATTACTTGCAATTCACACGATTTTGACTGTTTTTCGTTGTTAGATTTTTGCCCAAAACGAATCCACGACTATCTCAAATTTACAGAAATACCTACTTTTAAATAAATTCGTGGACTTATTTATTCCAAATCTGAAAATTCAATACAGATCTCTTTGGCCGTTAACCACTTTGATGATAAATAAACACACGATATCATAATTTTAACATATATTGAAATTTTTCAAATCGATCAATTTCGACCTTGCTATACTAGCCCTCCAAAAATCAATCTTATATTCATTGAAACATCCAGTATCCAATATTTCACTACGATATTGTAATTGGCCCCTTTCTATCTCCGTTTAAATTTACACTTTCAGTCGGCCAAACCTTGGAAAACTGCATCACCCTTTATTTAGGATTCGTCGAATGGAACCAAAGGCGGGTGATAAATCACGTTTCCTTAACTTATCGTGGAAAACTTCCTCAAACGTACTAATCCCCCCCCCCTCCCGTAATCCCCACTTTGTTAATTCCCCAAAAAACGTCTATCAAATGGCGATAATAGGTTACAGCGATCATCTTTAATCGTTAACCAATAGACATCGTTCCCTTACCACCAATCAAGCGCGTTTAAAATTAGTGGAGTTAAAAATTGCGTTTCCCATGCCGTCTCGTGGTTTGGTTATGAGCAAATCTGATTATGATATTTTGGTCATGTAAAAGCTCTCACTGTCTAGACGGTTGGTGACGCATCCGGTAAACATTGGCGTAAAAATAGCGACAAATATACCTATATAGGAAGCATTGATTATAACAAATTTAAAATAATAAAATTTTGAAATTACCAGCCCTTTAGTGGAACCACCCTGTATACTTCTCAACTCTAAAACTACGAAAAATTTAAATCCATAGCGGGATTCCGTTACAATGGTTACTTTCGTGTCATTTTACTTGATTATTTAATTCAATTTGAGGTCCGTGGGTTAGTAATAGAACATAGAACATTTTTTTGCAAATGCCCTTCATCCAACGCGCAAATGTTTGGTATAATCTCAATGTAGCTTTAAAAAAACATTTTAATAACGACCATCTCTTGAACATTTAGATCAAAAACAAAGTTAGAAACATGAAACCCACATAAATAAACTTTAGTGCCCTTTGCCCTTCAGTAGGAGTTTTTATAACAGTTTTTTTAAAACCTTTATGAACTTACAATCGTCATCTTACGATTTTGAGTATATTTTTCGATTTTTTGAATATTTCTAATTTTTGAAATTATTCAAATTTTTTGAATGTTTTTTGTAATTTTTTCTAACTTTTCTTCTTTTCCTTGAATATCCTTGAATTTAACTTTTTGTGTGTACTTGCATTTTTTCTTGGTCATGACACATTTTTCAATTTTTGAAATTTTTTATTTTTTTTTTCAGCATACGAACTTTTGTGTTGTGCGTCTGCTACAAATTATGGTTCCCTGGTATTAGTACCTAAATCTCATGAAACTAAACCCATCTTGCGTAGATTCTAGCTAATTTTCATTTTATTGCATTGATGCCATGTTTTCAATACCTTAATAATGTGTCCCAATGTTAAGATAGAGTTATGTTCGTTATGCTATTTCCACATGAGCAATGGACAAATGAAAATTGTGACGTTAATTCGACTTCATGGGTTGGTCTTTGGGTTACCATCTTTTAATGAAAATAATGCTTTTAGTTAAAAAAGAAAATGGAATGGAATACCCTCCTTCGACACTCCGTTCTGCAGATATTTGCAGTGAAAGTTTGTCACATTGTGAGTACCCTCCTGCGACAGTCGCTTTTTGAGATACAAGGAGTTATATCGTATCACGAAAAGAGGTCGGAGGAGAAGGACTATAGTTCGTACAAATTAATTCCTTTCTTGAGGCCGAGACCATTAATTAGAATAGCACACCGGCCTCGAAACTGGTCAAAAGCGTCTTCAAAGGACCGCAACTGGGCCTCGCACTTGGCAACAAGCCCCGATCTACCGCCGACTTCAGTATTTAAACGGACTCCCTCTTCCAAACACTAAGAAAATTTCATATCCAATAAACAGCCCTTGGTAACTCGGTAAACCAATCAACACCTCACGACTGGACGTTAGTTTTGGTCACGTACGCCAAACTTACTTGGAATTATCTTATCGAAACTATAACATTTCTACGAAAACAGTTTTTTTCTGACTAAAAAGACAATTACATTAATCTTTTACAAAATCAACGAAAATCTAATAAATCAAGTTGGAGCTGTGACAAATACATCAACAAAATAAAATTGATAACAGAAACTGAGATACAAATTTTCTTAACCTTAATTCTAAGAAATGCCCTTTCTTTTACAATGAAATAAATAAACAAAGCAGATACGCAAATACGTTTTGTTTATTCGTAAATAATCCCAAGAAATTGATTTACATGAGTTGTAATGAACATTTAATTAATAATTGCATAACCCATGATGTGTGGATGAAAAAATGGTTTTTAATAAAGAACACTAAATTAATTAAAATGAGAATTTCAATAATGGCAACTAAGCAAATACCACCTCAAAAATATTTGAAATAAACACCTTTTGGTGATTCTGCCCTCGTTCTGCCCTATAAATTTTTTATTTTTCCAATAATTTCCTAAGCGCCTCCATTTTATCAAATCTCCAATACGGTCTACAAGACACGTCGTTTTCTATTTTAGATCAATGGTGTCTGAACAATCTTTTAACAACATTCTAAATTCATGTCCCTACGTAACGTACACCGCAACGTTAATTTTGATCCATCCATATTTGAATTATTGATGATTTATATTTTAAGGTAACGCTATGCATTAAAACTTTAAATGTAGAAACGCAAATAAAAAGGGTGTACATACTTTAGAAGTGCTTTGAGGGTATAAATTTGAGAGCAGGAGTATAAATCCTTTAATATTAGAGCTTGTAATAAAATAAAAATACTTAGGAACGCGCATGAACCTTTTACTCTAAATAATGTTTCAAAACTTTTACTGCAATTGGCCGCTTGCGGTTTCCAGTACGGAGAGACATAAAATTCAAAGGAAAATAGAAAGCAAAGGAAATAGAGACGAGACAAACTCTCTAGAACGCTATTTAGATCTTACCCTTTTCCCTTTCACCTGCACATTATGTACGGTTTAAAATTTTACTTTTAATTAAAAGCTTACCTTTAGGTACTGTTTACCTAACTATTCTTTATCTAATACATTCTCTTATCCCATTATAATGAAACGAGATTATTGACATTGTTTTCTGGTTAGCTTTTATTTCTACGCGATCTTTTCAGTTAATTATGTTACATATCAGTAATTATAATTACTTATTCAATGATATCACTCAATATTGCCTTATTTCCGCCTTAATGTCCTCGCAATTCAGTTCATTAATAAGTACGATAAAGTACCCTAACGATCGTCTAAATCTTTTCATATGTTAGGAATGTACATTTTGTGTAGAATACTCCTCCGGGAAGCACAACAGTTCCATTTCTTCAAACCTCAATGGAGGTATTGAGTGTTATAGGGGAAGGGTTATGGAGTTTTGCTGAGTGAATACCCTCCAGACCTCCCGGTAACATTTTAATTAACGTTTAAGTTTCAGGACTCTCCTGATCGTTTTTGGGAAAATACTATCATATACTTTTCTTCTAAGAAGTTCTGCAGAGTACATAGCACCGAGGAGTCTAGAGGTTATGGGATCTTCTTCAAAGACACGACAGTACCATT